GGATGGATACTGCCTGAAGACAGAGGAGAGGAGAGGATGATGTAGATGGCCCATAATCCTTAGAGGCTGACAGCACACTGGGTCTTCTGTGATTGAAGTCTCTGTGTGTGTACGTGTGTGTGTGTGTGTACGAATCTGATAGTGATAGTGATCTGCCTATCAAAGTGATGCAGGAAAGGAATGGAGTTATGGGACAGAAGGAAAGGAAGAGAGGGAAGAAACGGTGAGTGGAAAAAAGAGAGGGAAGAAAGAGATGAGGCCAGAAAAGCCATTAAACAGAAAATCAATCAGCAGAAAGAGAGAGAGAGAGCAAGAGATGGAGAGTGAAATGCAGAGAGAGTAAGATCTTAAAGAAAGACACAGCGAGACAGAGAAGGATAAAGAGGGAATCCTCAGATGACTGCGATATTGATGACAGCACAGTGGGGAAAAGGGGATGAACGGATGGGAGAGAGGCAGACAGGATAAGGAGGCTAAGAAGGAGTGATCAAAGCACCCCAGGCCATGAGAGAGGAGTAAGGGAGGGTGAGACGGGGAGAGTGAGCAAGGGGGGGTTGATGAGGCAGGACAGTCGGAGGGTGAGATTCAACAATGAATGAATGAGGAGGAGAAAAGGAAGCATGGAGGGGAGAACAGAGGGAGGGAGTAGAAGACGAGATGTGTTTTACTGTAAAAATAATCTTGATGATTATTTATATTATTTTTATTGTGTGGTAGCTGAATGGTTGTGCATACCATATGGCTGCATGGTCACCAGTTCAATTCCAGCTGGTGCCCAAAAATAAAATATAAAAAAAAAGCTTCTTGCTGAATAAATGGGAAGAGGAGGGGTGTATCGAGCAGAGACCAGTACGGAAGAAAAGGGGAGGTGCTACGACAACAACTAGAGGGGGAGAAGGGACGGAAAGGCAAAAAAAAGGGGGCATCACTAGCTCACTGATGTGATAAGAAATGAAGACAGCATGACAAAACACAACCTCTCTCTTTCCCTCTCTCTCCTCTCACACACATACAGAGTCGCACTCAAACTAACACATATAGCTCCCTCTTCCACACACACTTTGCCCCCTTCTGTGGGTCAGTCGGCTGGGGCATGAGCATGAGTTCAGCCTCCCCAGGTTGCCGTCCAAAATAAATGCAGAGAAAAGAACATAGAGGAACAGCGCAGCCAGATAACAAAGCCCTCACTTATTTATAGATCTACTCAAGTTGGCCCCGATTATACATTTTTTGCCCCTTATGCTCATTTTATCTTCTTGTTTTCTACATATTTCACATGTAATATCATAACATAAGTAAAATCAATATTTGGGGATGTTATGCATCTGTTTTCAAAAAACCTGGTTTGAAAGTCTTTGGGGGGTCAAGGTTGTTCACCAAATATCGGACCCTTCACTATCAGTCATCTTGTTATGATTTTACGATCAGTCATATTCATTATATGTCTCATTTTCAAGCATACTCCATTCATGCATTGAATGTGGTGTGGTTGCTGTGACCTTAGTGCTCCTTAGATTTCAGGCACAGATTATTTTAAATGCTTATTGGATTTAAAGATTTCTTCTATAAGCTGATCAGAGTAGTGCGTAATGAAATTCCATTCTTCGACTCCGTTCAGATGGTGTAGTATTTCAAAATGAGAAGATAATTTATTCAATACACCGTGCTTAAAAGCAAGCAACGGCATGTTTGGATTATTACAGAAAAATAACAATATGAAAGATAGTTCACCGTGACCTGCTTTAATAATAATAGTGACATATTAATTTCATTTTATATTGCGGCTGTAATAAAGAGAAGTGGTGGGCCCAGAAAATGAGGTGAGGCAGACACAGTAATATTTAACACTGTCACGCAGATGTGCCATCATGATTGATTGGGTAGGAGTGAGCGGTATCCAAAATTAGCAGGTGCAACATGAAAAGCGGACTGAATCATGTCGGATGCACGCACATTTAACATAAGTTAATCAGTTTCGGCTATAGGTATGTGGACTTCCCCCTCCTTCACCTTGTGAACACACAGAAAATGTCACTTTATAGAGCAGCTGTTACTGAAGCGGTCTCTGCACAGCCCTGCTGTTACTAAATGACACACAACACAATTTTTGAGGATCCTAATTGCATCATGTGTCATCTGAAATTATCACCTGGACTCCTTACACGGCTTTCAGATTTCCTCCAGATCTACTTTTGTATTCAAGTCAGCTTGTTTTGAAAGTAATGGTACATATTTCATCTATGCTATAGGTCACAGTAATGGATTTTGAGCGACAACAAGTCAGAGCACATCATGGCTGAGGGCTCTTAATACTACAACATCATAATGCATAATGTCAAAGTCACCAAAGGTCCATTGCACATAAGAGCGTTGCTCACTTGTTTAGTCATATTTTTTTGATTTTATATAAGTTGATTTCCTCTCCTTTAATAAGAGCCACACATCAGTGCACCTTGAGGCCTTTCCACCTGTCTGTCAAGTGTCACTGGCACATCAATAAGCTGGAGGCCTGGAAGAGGTGTGTTTGAGATTGTGTGTGTGCGCGTGCTGGTGCATGTCCACCAGTGCTTGCGGACGTCCTGTTGTCATGATAAACCTGTGACAGCTGTCATCCTGCAAGCAGCACTCTCTCCCACAGTGCAGACACTCACTCTTACACTCACTCTTACACACACACACAGACACACACACACACACACACACACACACTCACACTCACAGACTACTGCATCATTGCTCTCCTGCAAATGTGATGGGGTCCCAGCAGGTCTTGGTTCAGAGTGTTGGGTCATTTACACAAATCTCCTCAAGTGTCTGCTGTGGAATGAATGTCTATCTGGATAAATGAATGGTCTGTCTGTCAGTGCCTGCCTGCCTGCCTGCCTGCCTGCCCGCCTGCCTGCCTGTCTGTCTGAAGCTGTTTGAATGAATGAATTGTTACTGAATAAATAATGCATTTCTGTACTTCATTTTCAATACATCAGCTCCTATAGTTTGGAACAATGCACATATTGTCACCAGCTTGTGTCAGCGCATTTTGACACAAGTATCATTCCTAATATGAAAAATATAATTGAAAAGCGTGTATTCTTCCTAATTCCACACTCTGATCTATTGAAAAAGTCTATCTTAAAATTCTTTTTGAACCACTCACTTTGTTCCATCCTGTTTCTCGTTTCCTATCTGATACAGTTTGTACCAACCCTCTATTTTAATCCACTTTTTTATATATTTTTTGTTTCACTCTAGTTCTGTTTTTCTTTGTTTGTATCTATTTATGTTCCTATTTATGTTCCCCTGTTATCCTCTGTGTATTTCCTGTCTCTACTCAGTGCACTCTGTTCCGTCCGATTTCTAATATATTTTCCTAATGTTTCTATTCATTTTTATTGGTTATCGTCTGTTGCTCAATGTTAGTCTTGGACCACAGTTATTCTCTTTACCCATCCTGTGGGTGGAGTCTGGCTTGGTCCCTACTTTATCTCTGTCATCTGTACATGCATCCCCCCAAGGCAGAACCGCCTGGATGAGCCCAAAGGATGTGCATGTATACCTGACAGCGCCTGTCTACACTCTTACAAAGGATGTGTCTTTTTCAGCTTATCAGTGAGTGCAGTTTAAGGACAACACACATCTGGTGTTTTTCTGTCTTCTCTAAATGCTGATGATATCAACATGTGATGTGTTGTAGCGTAATATAAATCATGTGTCATCCCAAATTGCACTCACTGGTGTGTAGGAAAAGACGTGTCTGCTGTAAGAGTGTGTTACGTACAGTATTGCCTCTTTTATGTATAACTATAAATTATACAGGTATAATTTATACCATTTTTTACAGTTGGACGCTCTCAGAAAAAAAGGTTCAACATTGTATCTTTCATCACTGGGGCAGTGGATTTGTGGCTGGGCTCAATTTGCTTTTGATAAATACTTTCAAAATCTAAATGCTCTATAGATTAAACAACTAGCCATACAGCCAATGTCCCAGTGACACAACAAGGTCCAATGTAGTATATTTTTTCTCCGTGAGTGTATCTGTATAAATTATATATGTATAATTTATGCCGTGTGCACAGCGCAATCCATGTGTCTTTATCTGTTATACAGTAATCAGTACTACTATCAATTATGAATAATCACACAGATGTGATCAAAAATGAGAGAAAATTAGGCAAGTCTATCATCACATCTGGTCTATATGTTTTGAAACTAATTGAGTATTAATTGCTAGATTGATACAAAACCAGACAATTGGGAAACAGTCAAATCTAAAGTTCCTTGGTGGCGATTGGAGGAGACGAGAGCGGAGCTCTGTGATTGGAGAAAGGGGAAACTTATCTTGTTATTGGAGGAGAGGACAGCAGCTCTGAGTGTGACAGGAACTGCAGCCTGACCCATAAACCCCATCCCTGATTCAAACTGGCTAAAAGAAAATAGCATCATTCTCTAAAATCTGCTGGCTTAATGTCAGACAACTTATAGTCCACAAAATAAGGACTGTTTGTATATCACCTTGTATATGCTATTTTTAAAATCTACTTCATATATAAAGCGTAATGTAAGAGCTCCATATTTTCACAATATGGTTTGCTAACATGACTTGACAGTTTGTGTTATGAGAAAGTCATCCATTTCTAACATTCAAGCCACTAAATAACATTAGGAGTTCAGAGCAAAGAGTGTACCCATAATATACTAAAATTAAGATAACTAAGAAAAATCACCTAATAGAGGGAGAGAGGTGGGGAGTTGAGCTGGCTGACCTACTACTTGAGTGGTATAGAAATAATGCTAGGTTTAATGAGAATTAAATCTTAATTTGGTAAATAAATTGAATTGATACATTTGTTAATTGATCCACCCTATCTTCTATAGCTGTGAAAATCTAAAATAATTGATCCAAAAAGCAAGAAATTTAATTTAAAAAAAAGTCCGCCCCTCGGTCCCTCCTCCTCTCCCTAACCCAGGTTTTCTATTTGTCACTCTGATTTGATTGACAGCTGAGGACACATGTGGGGGCACTGTGAGGGGCGGCAGTGGGGTGGTGACCAGTCCCGGTTACCCCGGCAACTATGGTAACCAGGCCGACTGTACTTGGATCCTTTTGGCCGAACCTGGAGACACCATCTCTGTCATCTTTACAGACTTCCAGACAGAGGAGAAGTATGACTACCTGGAAGTGGAGGGATCTGAACCACCAACCATTTGGTGAGTCACTTTATCAATCAATTTATTCATTCATTCGTATGTGCGTGTGTCACAGTTGTTGTCTGTGTATTTGTGTCAGATTCAGTATTTTATTTTTTAGTGCAATTTCTGAAATGCAGTGCAGGGATGAGTCAGTGGTTCAGTGTTAAATTGCAGAAGGGTGCAGGATGGATTTCCAGGCGTAACAGGCATACAATTAGATGGATGGTGAAAATGAAAAATATGCATATGTCATAAAACAAAATGAATGGGTGGATATTAAGGTTTAGTCTGGGTAGTCTCATTATTAAAAATGCCTAGTGTGAATATCCATTATGGCACAAATGCAGCTACAGGTTAAAGTTGACTTAGCCAATGAAATGTGAAGCATCATAGAGCCGACTGTCTGCAGCAGAAAACAATGTGGCGAGCAGTATAATAGAGGTACAACAGGACCCCACTGTACTTAGGGTGGCTGTGACACATGTAACAGTGGTCCTAATCCATACTTTGAAAACAAGGAAAGGGCTCAGTTGACATTTCTGACCTGGCATTTCTGCAAAGGTGGTAGAGTCACATAAAGGTTGAGTTTATGGAACAATTTAACCACACTTGGAGTACAGTAATAAAAAAGTTAGAACAGGTAATAAAAAGAAGTTAGAACTCAAGTAAGAACAGGTAATAAAATGAAAATGTTATTACAGATATAAAGTACAGTTTTTATCTCTTGTTCTTGGAGTATAACAATTTTTCCATGGCAAAAATAAATAAATAAAACATTAAAGTATGATGTGTGAGTAGGCATGTGTTCATGTGAAGTCCTTCTGCACAGGCCTTGTATTTTACAGATGAATTAACTGAGTGCTAGTTATATCCATGTTTTTATTATTTTCTCATGTGTTTTCAGATGGGTCACTCATAACAATATTTTATTGCTCTGGCTGCTTATTGATTGTTGGCAAATTAGGGTATTGATCATTCATTGCTGTTGCTGTAACCAATTTGAATCAAATCATGGTCAGGGATATTAGTGTGTGTGCACGGGTAATTGATTTGGAAGTAGTAATGGCCAGGAAACTGCTTTTACACTAGTGTGTCTATACATGTGCACACCATTTGTGCTCATTTAATGTGTGTGTACATTAGTGTATATGTGTGTGTGTGTACTTGCAGTCATGGTCCAGTGTGTATTATTTATAAGGATCTGTTGGCAGAAAGGAATATAATATTCATAGGTGTGTATAATATACATTAGTGTATAATCAGGGAGTTTCTCTTTTGCACTTGGAAGGGGAGGGTGAAGCAAGGGAGTTGCAATCTGCAACTACACCACTAGTTGCTACTAAATCTGACACATTGGACCTTTAAAAGAAGCACAGGATACTGGAAAAACAGCAGTTGAATACTGCCACTGAACAACTTTTCCCTCATATCTCTTGTTGATAACTGACTGTGCTCTGCTGGTGACATTTCATCACATACACTCAGTCACATTTTCTCTTAGTGGCTGCATGGAACTTATTCCCAGCATGCCACAGTAAACCAAAGGTTAAGTCTTTATTTTCTTGTTCGTCAGAAATGCCATATTTAATAATAATTTGAGTTATTATTCTACAATTTACATGATCTAGACATACATCAAATAAAGGCAAAGCACTATTAATCATCAAAGACAGACGAATAAGAAGAAAAACAAAAAAGAAAAGCTAACTTTTAGTTTGGATTTATTTGATTTAACAACATTTTTTATTTGACCTTTAATACTTTGTGGAATTTGAATTTTTTTTTTATTGAGAGTCCTGGCCAAAATGGCTGTACATTTGTTAATATTGTACAAGCAGATATGTAAAAAGGGACCAATAATCACAAGTGATATGTTTTGTCTTAAGACACACTTAACCAAAGTCCATCCAGATATATCATCAATGAGCAGGCCATTCAGAAAAATTTGTGTCAAGCTTTCATTTTGAACTAGGGTCAAATACAAAACCTTACCACTGTGAAAAATCCCCTTCTTAGAAGTATTTACAACCAATATTTATTGCTCAGATTAAGATTGTTGGCCTTTGGGGGATAATGTGGTGGTGACTGGTAGTGTGTGATTTAGTCTGACCGGTGTCTCATGTAATGTATTGCTGTGTTGTTATTTATTTGCTGAATTAACTCTGGAGTCTAATGCAGCATACTGAGGTCAGTGTTTTGATGTTTCTCATATCATGGGTCTTTTCAAGCAGCCTCACTGATAATATGGCTGTAGTTTTGCACTGAGAGGAGATCATTGCGACATTCAGAGGTTCGCCCTGGAGCAAAACCTATACCGATGCTCTGATGTTGCGAGTAACTGAAAATGCTAAACTGACCGTCAGAGTTTTCTTCTAGCTTATTGTTTTCTAACAACTTTGAGTCAAATCACTTCACTGTGTAGGAAATGTATAAATAAATAATTTTGGTCCACAAACATAGTATTCCAGTAGAAAACAGAGTGAAAACAGTACATGAAAAAACACATTAACAAATCTTATTATTCATGTTAGTGAGCACTCAGTGTTCACAAACAGCTCGTCCCTTTTAACGAGACACACAATTATAAAAATACATTTTAGAATGCCAAGACAACTGATTCAAGTAAGTGACTTTAATGGCTTCCCACCTGGGAAGAAAAACAAAGTACTCCTGTGGGTAAGTATGTCTTACTCATCAGAGATGTCAGAAAAAGTAATGAAACGATGATGCAATGCTCAGAGGGACATTGCAGATGTAGGAACATACACTTAATAA